ATTGTTGTTTGGCGGGTCCGGGCTGGGGATTCGAACCCGCCACCTTAGGTGTACGTGGCTGGCGCCTTAGCCGGTTGAGCTATAGGCTCCGAGCCGATGTTCACAAACTTTACCAAGGCTTAGAATGTTTTCATAATGTGCCAGGATGTGGGCCTAAGGGTGCTTGGCTTCAAGGTTGGTGCTTTTAACCTTTATATAGGCTGCCTCCTTACCAAGTGTTTTCCTATTCTGAGCGGACAGTTCTGAAACCATCTATCCCTCGATCACAACTGAGTGGCTAAGAACTGGAAAGTGACTGACTATAATGACTCCTGCAAAAAGAATAAAGTAATAATTTATTACAATATTTTTCTCATCTGTTTGTGATGACTGATTCTGGAGATGGAATTTTCCTGTTTAAATTAACAAAAACATTCTAAGAAAATAGGATAATGTTCATTTAAATGCATGATAATAAATTACCCAACAATACCCACTCAAAATCCATTAAAACTCAGCAGAAGACCAGAAAGGAAAAAATCCAGAAAGGAATTCTAGAAAAAATTCCAGTAAAAATTGTAAAATGCGTCTGCTGGGAGGTAGGAACACATGCAGGAATCCCTGGGGCAGAAGAGACGATGACACCGGTGTGCTCCTAGGAAAAACCTGAAGGTGACAGAAGTGCAGGTAAGGTAAGAGGATCAACTATAATCACTTTTGATGGCTGTCTGGCAAACTCCATAAACCTCTTCCCTCCTTTGAAACATACAGAAATCCCATCAAACTCCCAGTATGTATGGCAAAGTACAAGTTTTTTCTTTTTTGTTAATTCAAGTATAGAATAATATTACAATACTGAATATATTTTGTGGAAGCTCCACATCCTTCTTCCCAGAGATTGCAACACACTTACCAAGTTATCCATAAGGTATTAATTTGGAGATATTTCTAAGAGCACCTTGGGATCTTGGTAACGAGCCCTCCTTTTGGTTTTGGTGAGATCGGTGGTTCTAAACTGAAGGAAGATTCTGAGCTCCCCGGATCTCTGGACACTTTTTTTTTTTTTTTTACAGTTTTTGGCTGCAGCTGGGTTTCAACCCGCCACCTCCAGCATATGGGGCCAGTGCCCTACTCCTTTGAGCCACAGGCGCCGCCCTGGACACATTTTTTTATTATCTCATAAAGGGATAGTACTGGCATGAAGTTGGATATGTTAATTAAACAACAACAAAAAATCTGGCCTCTTAAAAAAAAAATCAATCACAAAGTCACAGCCAAACATTAAGCATGAGTGACATCGGCTGAGGCTTGATGGTAAATCCAATCTCTTTACCTCCAAAAAGAAGATTCAACTGGCAGAACTGAGCTTTGCCACAGAGAGAAATTTGTAAGAGTGAACTTGATTCTATCAGTGGCTTAGATCCATTAGAGCAGCAACCCACAGGAACCGTATTAAAGGGCCGCGGCATTAGGAAGGTTGAGAACCACTGCGTTAGAGATTCACTCTCATTTCTCAGGTCACCATTTGTTTATTAACCTGCTGAAGTCACATTTCTGCCCTCTCACCCCACAAATGTTGTTCTCACTAAGGTCACAGTGGCTTTCTAAATCTCAAATCCAAAGGATGTTTTTCAGTTATTACCTTATCTGACCTCTCTGCAGTAGCCACTGGAGCACTCAAAAAGTTTGGCATAACTCTCTTGTTCTCTTCCCAAATGCTGGTGTCCACCACAGTAGTCCTTGACCTTCTTCCCATTCCTTCCAATACTTTAACCACCAGTCATTAGTGATTCCCATATCTCTTCTCCAGTCTAAAACTCTTGCCAGAATTCAAGGTCTGTTGAACTACTTAAAAGACACTGTGATCCAAATTTCACCTAGTTCCCTATAACTGTGCCCATAACTGAACTTATTTTTCCCCTTCAACCCATTCCTACTACTGTATTCCTTTTCTTAATGGAAACACTAGTCCTCCAAATTTAAAAACTCTTCTTCTACCTCATTCCCACCAATAAAACCATCATTAAATCCTCTGGCTTTACCCTCCTGTATAATTCTCATATTCATTTCCTCCTCTCTAGCTCTGCATTAATGCCCTCAACATCTCTTTTATGAGCCATCACAAAGATATGATGCAGGATCACTTTCAGTTATCCTTCTCCTCAAGCCATTTTCTACCCCAGTGATTTTTCACCCATGTGCTGTGGCACATTGGTGTGCCCCAAAAATCTTTAAAGACCATTAATTAGGCCAGGCCCAGTGGCTCACACCTGTAATCCTAGCACTCTGGAAGGCCAAAGAAGGCAAAGAATATTCTTTTTTTTAGTCTTTTTCTTTTGATCAACACAATATAAGTGTGCTGTGGAAGTTTAACTATAGGTTCAAGAGTGCCATGATGGCTCGGTGCCTGTAGCTAAAGCAGATGAGGTGCCAACCACATACACCAGAGCTGGCAGGTTCGAATCCAGCCTGGGCATGCCAAACAACGACAACTACAACCAAAAAATAGCTGGGCGTTGTGGCGGGTGGCTATAGTCCCAGCTACTTGGGAGGCTGAGGCAAGACAATCACTTATGCCCAGGAGTTGGAGGTTGCTGTGAGCTGTGATGCCACAGTACTCTACCCAAGGCAACTTGAGGCTCTGTCTTAAAAAAAAAAAAAAAAAAAAAGAGTGCCACGAGATAAAAAAGGTTGAAAAACACTGGTCTACCCTGTCCATAAGTTATTTTTTTTGAAATACAAACTGTTTTATGTTAGGTACTTTCCAAGACTCCTCATCCTCTGAGGAAGCACCTTGAGGCAGAAAGTTGGGTGCAAATTCTAGAATTTTCCACCAACTGTGTTGCCACATGACACTACTTATCCTTTCTATGCCTCAGAGTTTTGATTTATAAAATGGGGATAATTATGCCTATCCTACAATCCTGTTAAAAGGATGGCAAAATGATGTATGTAGAACATTTGTTCCAATATCTAGACAAATTAAATACCTAAACAACTGTCATAAGATGAAGTCCAAATTACTTACAGTGGCCCTTCATGATCTGGTTTCCCATTAATTCTTCCTCAGATTCTACACCTATCATACTGGATCACATCTTTTTGCTTTTGTACACAAAATTTCCTCTGCCTAAAAACCTAGCCCCTAGTAGTTTGTGCAATAAGCAAACTCTTTGACCTGAAGGTTTTTGCCCTTTGAACCTTATACAACTCCCTCACTTTATATCACATCTATTTCCCTGTCTACCTCCCACACTAAATTGTGAATTTCTTGAAAGTAGAGATGAATGGAGAAATCAACACAAAAAACTGAAGACAAAGAAATTTACCTCAGACATGGAACCTGATCAATGTTGACCAAATTTATAGAAAGGAGCTACAGTGATCATTCTGTTCCCCAACTAGTTGAATGCAACTAAGGGTCATTAATTTTACTTGTTTTCCCCCCTCAAAACCCAGATCCCAGTAGAATTTTCTTTGTTTTAATGCTTCAGCCTGATGATGAGGGTTTAGGTGAGCAGCTTAGGAATCTAGCACTTGGACATTTATTTCAGTGTTAAAAGCTGCTGAGGAGAAACTGGGTTCAAACTTGGTCTTGAAACATGTTTCAGTCTAAATCAGAAAAGGCCTCTTTCTGGTATGCAAGTTGGGCTATGTGAAACTTCAGTCAAAACTTAATTGTAGCAAAGTTGAATTCAGTTATTATTATTTTTTTTTTTTAGGCATGTTGTTCCCTAGAGGAAGTACTGACAACTCAAATTCAAACAGATGAATTTAGTAACTGAGATAGTCTGTAGGGGATTCCACGATGGGAAATTACAAGTGAGCAATGAGAAAGGTCAGAACACTAGTAGCATGCAGGAGTAGCCAGTATTATAAGGTGACTGTGACTAAATGCTTTAAAAGAAACGTTGGCAAATGCCAAGGCTATAACAACTCTCAGAACAGAAAAACTGGCCTGCAGGTTAACAGTCTTCAAATGCTACAGGAACACGAGGAAGGTAAGTTTCCAAGTACTATGAGGCAATTACAACCAGTTCACTTGCTCATGTCAATAAACCAAGTCATATTCCTTTCTGAAATTGGAGATGCCAGGTTTATCACACATTAAGTCCACAGTTTTTGAGAGAAAGTATTTCTCCCTTAATTACTAGAAAAAGATGTTTCGGGAGGGAGGCAGGGAGTCTACTACATATAGAAAAAGAAAAAAACCAAACGTCAAAAGGGCAAAAAATCTGAACTTTGCTAGCGCTGCTCATTTTGGACACTGCTGTGACGCCTGAGAAACAAATTCAAGCAGAGTCGACCTCATTTTGCTCTCCCCGGAGGAGCCAAGAAAAAAGAGAAGTCTTAAGGGAGTCGACCCCGGGGAAACTACCAGGGAATACCGTCAGCCTGCAAAAGGAGAGAGGCTCAGGAAAGGGATTAGCGCTGGGAAACTGTGTGGCAGTAGCGGCGAGGGAGGGCTGCACCAGGATGTCACAGACCGCCTCTGTCACAGGGCGGCCTCCCCCCTCCCGGCCTCGGGCCCCAGTCACTCACATGCGGGGCCCGCGCCCCTTCGGGCTCCTCCCGCCTCGGGGACTGCAGCCGCCGGGCGAGGAGGCTAGAACGACAACTTCCTGCTTCCGGGAGCGCAACCCGGAAACACCCCTAACGCCACAGGCCAGGCCGCACTCCCTAGGATAGCTCCTCCTTCTCTTCCTTTGCTTCCGCCAAAAACCAGACGCACGACGTCGCGGCGCGCGCGGGGACTCTCGAGATAGCCGGAGAGTACGTGTTCGTGCTCCCCCTGGCGTCCAGCTCGCGCTGCCACGCTCTCGGTCTTCTTTCTCTACCTGCACCAACGCAGACTTTGTAGCTAAACTGATTATCGCAACAAGCATTCACTGAGTCCTCTACTATGTGCCAGGCAGTGTGTTGGGCATTAAGGGATGGCGTGGGAGAGATACGTAAATGAAGAACAGCTCCCTCCCTCAGGGAGCTCCTTCCTATATTGAGAAAGACAAGAAAACAAATCCCCCAAATGTACACTTAGCCCCTTCATTAATATTTACCAAGTGTTTACTGTGTGCCAGGCCTTTGTAAGCACTTTTTATTCATGAAGTCGTGTCAACAACGCTATGACAAATTTATTCCCACGTTTATCCTCTTACAAACCAAACTGAGGTTTATGGAGAGATTGACTTGCTGGGGATACACAGTGGTCAACATTTCAACCCAGACTCCTCATCCTACCCTGTCTGCAGTGCCAAAACTTTTAGCTGCTTTCTACAAAAGATCTGCAAACAAAATAGTACTAGGTTCAGGCCTATAATGCTATAGCTACAAAGGCAGTGTGGTATGATGCAGTAGGTAAAGCAATGAAACAGAATGGAGACACCCCAAACAAACATATATGGACACTTGGTTTATGACAAAGAGGCCAACAGAGGAGTAAGGAAAGAACAGTACAGCATTTGCAATCAGTGGTGCTGGGTCAATTGCATTTCTATGTAGAAAAAAAAACTACTGGGAGAATGGGGACGGAAGACCCCATTGTTGGCTAAAGGAAAGCACCCCCAGAAAAAGAGGAAAACTAAAAAGTAAGTTGAGTGAATAGGAAAAAAGAAAAGTCAGCTAGTTTACATTTAAGCTAGCCATTACCACCAAGTTTATTGCCTTTTCTGAAATTCTAGGCTGTTGAGGATACAGCTTACAAACACTGGGCAGGGTCTGTGAGCACTCTGAAGAGAGTAATGGCCATGGAAGAGATTATGGCAAGTCCTAGAAAAGATACATCTTCTAGGGCGTTTCCTGCCCATTAAACAAGTAAAGCAGAAACCCATTGTGGAGATTTGCATTTGTCTGGGGCAGAGACCAAGGGAGTAGCTCAAGCTCTGAGATATGGGCGAAAGAGCTTATATCCCTTATCACAGAGGAAAATCCTCTGGTGGTGATGGGAGGAAAATGCCTCCCTCCCACTGATCCCTCAGAGGAAATTAACTCTGGTGGTGGTTTACTCCACAGAGAACTAGCAGAGCTTAACACCACCCTAGAAATCCCTGCATGTGATCTCAAGCAAGAGGCTCTCCTAATACAAGGCTCAGATTTCTGAAGGCTACCTTTAAGGTTAATAATAACAATAGGAGCTAATATGATCAATCCAAGGAACTGCTGACATCTTTGTTCCCTCCCTCATCTTACCCTCTGGGCAAACAAACTTCAATAAAATCAGAGTGGAGCAAATGCTCTGGGCCACTGCTAGAATCCACGACAGATAATGGACCTCTCTTGTCTTTCTTTACCATTGCTTCTAAGTCTGTATTTCTTCAGTCAATTGCTGCCAGTTTCCACAGGTCTCAGCAGACGCTGCTCTCAGGGCAGGACCCCGATAAAAACAAAACTTAAGACCTACCTCACTGAATACACCAAAATAATTCTAGAGATGTTGTAAATCTATATGAGAAAACAAAAGCAAAAAGACTTTACAGCTGCTGTTCAATACTGCTGCCAGGCAAGTGACTACGGAGCACTTGTAATGTGGCTAGTCAGAATTGAGATGTTCTATAAGAGAAAATGGATATGCTGAACTACATTAAAATTAGAATCTTCTCATCATTAGAAAGATAAGATTAAGAGAATAAAAAGACGAGTAGCCATAAGGTGAGAGAAACCATCAAAGAGCTTCTGTCCCGAATATATAAAGAACTTCACAAATAAGAAAAAGCCAAAAGGAAAAATGTACAGAAGATCTGAACATAAAAAGATGAAATCACAAACAGGATATCTAAATGACCAATACACTTTGCATTAATGAAGCATGTAACTTCATTAATCATTAACTGTTGCTGAAATGACTGTTGAGATATCATTATACAGGTTTCAGAATCCCAGTTAGAAAGACTGGCAATACGAAGTGTTGGCTAAGAAGCAGAGCAACAGCATTTCTCAGAGGCTACTGGTGAGCTTGTAAATTGCTACAGCCACTTTGGAAAACAGTCTGATGTTAATTTTTAAATTATACATGTTACCTAGCAATTCTGCTTCTAGGCATATATTCCCTACAGGGAATTCCTTCTAGGTATAAAATTTACCTACAAATGCACTAAGATAGACAAGAATATTCATAGCAGATGCATTATTTGTAACATCCACAACCTGGAAGCATTTCAAATGCCCATTAACAACTGATGATAAATATAATGTTGTATTTATATAATCATGCCACAGTATACAACACAGAATAGAAAAATAAAAAAAATAGGCACTGCATAAAACAACATGAATATAGCTGGCAAACATAATGTTGAAGAAGCCAGACACAAAAATACATACTTTATGACTCTACTTATATAAAATTCAAAAACAAGGAAAACCAATGTGTGATATTACAGGGCAAAAAGTGGTTACCTTGGGCGGCACCTGTGGCTCAGTGGGTAGGGCGCTGGCCCCATATGCCGAGGGTGGTGGGTTCAAACATGGCCTGGGCCAAACTGCAACAAAAAATAGGCAGGTGTGGTGGTAGGTGCCTGTAGTCCCAGCTACTTGGGAGGCTGAAGCAAGAGAATCACTTAAGCCCAGGAGTTGGAGTTGCTGTGAGCTGTGATATCACATTACTCTACATAGGGCGACAAAGTAAAACGCTGTCTCAAAAAAAAAAAAGTGGTTACCTTTGGGGAAGAAAGAATGGGTCATGACTGGTAGAGGGGCTTCTGAAAAGGTGGAAACATTTTATATCTTGAATTGATTTGACCCCTCATGGCTTCTAGCTAACTCTTGCTTGTTTTCTGAACCTAAAATCAGGCTATATAACTCCAGAGGAAACTTCTGAGTTTTTGAAGCTGCTCTGGAGCAATCAGAGCTCAGGAAGCACTGTGTGCTTATTACAGCCCTCATTCCTCTCTTTTGTAGGTTTGTGTTTGTCCATCTCTCTAGAATGTGAATTTCTTTAGGGCAGGCCACTGTGTATATGATTCACATATACATACTCCTCAGTACCTAATGGCTGATAGGAGCTTCAGGAAAAGATTTAGGGAGAAAGTGGCCTTGAAGGTAGCTTGTGAGTATTCAGACATTGGAGCCTAGGAATGGCACAACCCTCCCAAGATATACAGTAAGGAACTACATAAAATCGAGAGACGGGCAGCTCAAATAATAGAACAAATGCTTAAGACTTTTCCATCCAGTTCAAGAGCCACAAAGTAGGCATGAACACAATACTGCAGGAGGTACAAAATTAATTATACTTTATGTTAGCACAGTATTAATTTAAAATGTAGTTTTCTGTTCATTATTCATTCAACAAAAGCTGAGCACCCTATGCTCAGTACAAGGATGGGGAAAAGATGAAGGCGGTCCAAGTTCCTCTCGCAAGGAGCTCACTGTCAAGTTTATCTTTACAACATTGTACATCCTTATTCTCACTATACAATTAAGGACATCAGGGTTGAAAGGTGGTAAGAGCACAAGCTCACCAGGTGAGGTACTTTAAGCAAGTTATTTTATTTCGGTAAGCCTCAGTTTCCACGAAGTAAAACAGGAATGGTAGTATTTACTTTATGGGGCTTTGAAGATTAAGCATAAAAATAGACAAAGACCTTAGCAAGATACCAAGCACACAGTACGCTTTCATTTAGCTATCATTAAGTGGTGTGCACAGCATTTACAGTATGTTTATTTACTTCACTTCACTCTTGTCCTCCCTCCAAACTTCGCAGCTTTTCTACTTTGCCTCTCCTCGTAGTGCCCCGAGTAAACCTTTCTAACACTTTGCTGCGACCAGCCATCATTAAGCCTTGCTCTTGCTCCAATCCCTCTGATCTGCATTCTCCAGTCTCTCCCTTTCCTTATCTACCATTTTCTTTCTTGCCTTTCCCTCTCTTCTCTCCTTAGACTCCTTACCTTTGCAGTTTGGAGGCGCAATTTTGCTGTATGGTTATGGAAAAGCAAGTATTTAAGTGCTGAGTCTGTTTTCACATCTGAAAAATGGGAACAATGCTATCTGCAGGATTGCTTTGTGGAATGAATGAGATACAGTGCAAGGGCTCTGTAAGTCTCCCAGGGTCTTCAGTATCGCGGAGCTCTACTACCTCTGATTCCCTTCCTCCCCTCCTGGTTCCAGTCCAATGGTGGGCTTAGAAATCCCTCCAATTGAACAGTAGGAAATAACTCCAATCAGAGTGCAGCGTTGCTAGCTGTTTCCGCCTTCCTTGTCTAAACGAACCAATCAGACCGTTCCGAGAGTGGCGGGGTAGCGCCGTTTTGGAGACCACCTCGGATGGAGCTTGCCACTTTTCTACCTCCTTGCGCCCAGCCTTTCCGCGCCTCGCCCCCCAAATTCGTAGCCGTGGAAGAGGGAACCGTCCTGTTCCTTGTCCCAGCCCCTCAAACTCGTGCATCAAAAGGGTTGAACGGTAGATGCCGGAAGTGTGCGGAGCACCTGCGTGTCCCCAGCAAATTGACGCCGGAAGTAGCAATTGCTGGAGAAACGGTCCGCCCGTTTCATTATGGCGGCAATCCCCCCAGACTCCTGGCAGCCTCCCAGCGTTTACCTGGAGACCAGGTGAGGGGGTCGGGCCTCTGGGACTGGGCTGGTGGAGGCGACTAGGACCCTGGGCTTCTTCGCGGGGCTTGGTTTCTGGAGCGCTCCTCCCGTGGACGGCTTCCACGTGGAGGGGCGTGGAGCGGAGCTGTGAGGGTACCATCACCGCCAGTTACAAGCTCCACTCTGACTTGCGCTGAGACCTCAGCGACAGCTGCCTTAAATATCCTCCTCCCTCCATTCTGTTCATTCATTCAACAAGCCTGTAACGAGTCCAAAAGCCAGGCACATCAGGATCTGAATTCTGAGGCTACAGAGATGGATAAAACACACAGCCCTGCATTTAGGAGCTTACAGTATAGTGAAGGAGACAGATATGTGTATATTTGTGTTAAGTAGTATAGCTATGTAAACAAATTACTATGAAAATACAGGAAGAAGCACATTTTCCCCACTATCAAAGAATTATGACAACCAACCTGCTAGTACCATGCCTCTGAGGTATGTCATTCCATTTACTTTAATCCTCCCAGCTACTCAAATCATGAAGGTATTATTTCACCTCTTCTCCCTCCAGTATTAGCAGAGGAAATGCCAAAAATTATACATTTACGCAGTTGGTAAGGGGGAGAACCTTGTTTGGAGCCTAATCTACCTGCCCTACATGCTTGGTTATTTAGCCCCATTTATTCCATGACTTCTTTGGAAGAAGCTCAGAATGAATTTTCCAAAGTTGAACAAGGTATCGTGCTCAAAAAACTTAAATAGGCCGGGCAAGGTGGCTCACCCCTGTAATCCTGGCACTTTGGAAGGCCGAGGCAGGTGGATAGTTTGAGCTCACAAGTTGGAGACCAGCCTGAGCAAAAGTGAGACAACCTCCCCCCCTACTAATATAGAAAAACTGAGGGCTGGGTGCCCATGGCTCAGTGAGTAGGGTGCCACCCACATACATGGAAGGTGGCAGGTTTGAGCCTGGCCTGGGCCTGCTAAACAATGACGACTGCAACCAAAAAATAAAAAAATACCCAGGCATTGTGGTGGGCGCCTCTAGTCCCAGCTACTTGGGAGGTTGAGGCAAGAATCACTTAAGCCCAAGAGTTGGAGGTTGCTGTGAGCTGTGACGCCATAGCTGTGACGCCATAGCACTCTACCGAGAGCAACATAGACTCTGTCTCAAAAAAAAAAAAAA